TGTTGGTGTAGCTGTTGTTGTGGTTGGAGCAGATGTGGTTGTTGTTGGAGCAGCTGTTGTTGTGGTTGGAGCAGCTGTGGATGTTGTTGGAGCAGAAGTTGTTGTTGTTGGCGCTGCTGTTGTTGTGGTTGGTGCAGCTGTGGTTGTTGTTGGAGCAGATGTGGTTGTGGTTGAAGCCGCTGTGGTTGTGGTTGGAGCTACTGTGGTTGTTGTTGGTGCAACCGTGGCTGTAGTTGGAGCTGCTGTTGTGGTTGACGCTGTTGTGGTTGTTGTTGGAGCAGAAGTTGTTGTGGTTGGAGCTGCTGTGGTTGTTGTTGGTGCAACCGTGGTTGTAGTTGGAGCTGCTGTTGTGGTTGGTNGTTGGAGCAGCTGTGGTTGTGGTTGGAACAGCTGTGGTTGTAGTTGGAGCAGCTGTTGTGGTTGGAGCTATTGTTGTCGTCAGAGAACCTGTAATATTTATCGTATATCAAAATTAAAGTTTAAAAGAACAACTGAACACTTCATTTATAAAGGTTGATATTAAAAGTACTTTTAATTTCTTAAAATTTGTATAATCAGCTAATTTTCAACTAAGTTTTCCTTAAATATTGTGTTGATCTTTTTTTCATAAGCAGTTCAGTTAGTGCTTCCTTTCATTCATCCTTTGCATAAGTATTTAATGTTCTACTCATCTTTTCTTACCTTGGTCACTAATGGCAATCGTGTCAGTTATTACGTCGAATTCTGTGATGTTTGAAGCCTCATTAACCAAAACCTGTTCAATTTCTGTATCATTAGGAGTGGATGATGAGTCAAATTCAAGGTCCACAGAGTTGATGATTGATCCAGCACTGCAAAAGTAGCAGTATAATTAGTTATTGTCTATGAGAGTCTGAACAAGGAGTTGGTTATATAGCAACATACAAAGAAATTACCTGAATGTCATAGCTCCAGTCTTTCGGAATGAAGAGAAAGCTTTTCTTAAAAGTGGCTCAACCTACATGAAAAGAAAAACTAAATATGTTAGGTGTACAATTTCAAAAAAAAATAGAACAATTAATACATTTTGCTATATTGGTTTATAGAGAAATTCTACATACTTCATTAAAAGAAAAATAATTAAATGTCATGTTATGGGGAGATTATTCCTATTCTATGTAAGTAATAGCATTTTTAATCACTATAAGATTAATATGACTTTCTTTAATTTAGGTGAAAACTTAATTCACATTTTTTGGTTGAAAAGACACAAACTATTATTCAAAAGCATACAATAGGTTACCAACTTATGTAGTACAATTCTACTTAAAAAATACAATGTAAATTGTTATGTGAGAAAAAGGGGTAAACATACTCGATTCCTTATGTGTCCAGAACGTGTTTGGAATGCTTGTGATGATGAGTCTGCCAAATCTGAGGTGAAATTTTCATCAGACGTAAAAGTGAGCAACTTTATTAGGGCTGGAACTGCTGTTGTTGACACTGGGACTGCCGTGGTTGCAGCTGCTGTTGTGGTTGGAGCTGTTGGGGTTGTGGTTGGAGCCACTGTGGTTGTGGTTGGAGCCGCTGTTGTTGTTGTTGGAGCTGCTGTGGTTGTTGTTGGAGCAGAAGTTGTTGTGGTTGGCGCTGTTGTGGTTGTTGTTGGAGCAGAAGTTGTTGTGGTTGGAGCAGATGTGGTTGTGGTTGGAGCAGCTGTTGTTGTGGTTGGAGCAGCTGTGGATGTTGTTGGAGCAGAAGTTGTTGTTGTTGGCGCTGCTGTTGTTGTGGTAGGAGCTGCTGTGGTTGTGGTTGGAGCCACAGTGGTTGTTGTTGGTGTAGCTGTTGTTGTGGTTGGAGCAGATGTGGTTGTGGTTGGAGCTGCTGTGGTTGTTGTTGGAGCAACAGTTGTTGTGGTCGGAGCTGTTGTGGTTGTGGTTGGAGCCGCTGTTGTTGTTGTTGGTGCAACCGTGGCTGTAGTTGGAGCTGCTGTTGTGGTTGGAGCAGATGTGGTTGTGGTTGG